CTCCCGAGTGCTGGGATTAAAGGCATGCGCCACCAACGCCCGGCAACAACCAGCAAGCACTCTTAACTGCTGACCCTCCTCTCTAGTCTGAGGTGTAGCTTTAATTCTACAACAAGACTCTAAAACTTAGGAAAATAATGTGTTCAGGAATGAAAAATACTTTGAAGCCTGGGATGACCACGTGACAGTGAATTGTAGGCACATCTGGAAAAGTTGGCACGGGGGGGGGCATTATGGGTGCTTGTGCTCACTGGCAGAAATGTGTGCACTAGCTTTGCCAGATGGTCTTCCTAGCAACATCCTTGACTGCAGGCTTGTGGCCGCACAGACGTGACCTTGACAGCTGTGGTTTGGCAGAGTCTCTTGGGATTGTTCCTTTTAATCTGGCATATGCACAGGGACCCTTCATCCAAGGCACCCAGATTTCATCTGGGTAGAGTTTAAAATAATGACTCCATTTTGCCTTTGACAGCTTCCTTCCACACAGGCAGCATTTCCTATTACTGTGTAGTAGTTTTAAATACTCCTTCAGAACAGACAGGAGACAGAGAAGAGCACATACAGAAGGAAGACAGTATCAATAAAGGCCCTGATACAGGTCTCCAGCGACTCACTTCCTTCAACCAGGCACCACCTTCCTCATCTCATCACCTCCCAATGACAAACCCTCAAGGAATCAATGCATTACACAAGAGCCATCGTATTCACAGCCAGGGTGGGCTTCCCTAATCTCCTAGACATTTTTTAATTCAATCAAACAAGTTGACAATCAAGATTAATTGCCGAAGTAGTACTATCTCCTGGGATAACCATTTCCCCACAGCAGTGGTTTTTCAAACTTTTGGGTCTCAATTTTTAAATGAAGTTAAATTTTCGTGTGTGTGTGTGTGTGTGTGTGTGTGTGTGTGTGTGTCACGCATACATTCAGGTGCCCATGGAAGCCAAAAGACTGTGTAGGATCCCCTGGAACTGCAGTTACAGAGAGTTGTGAGCCACCACGTGGGTGCTGGGAACTGAACCTGGGTCCTCTGCAGCAGCAGTCAGTGCTGCTAACCCCTGGGACACCTCTCCAGCTCCATTCCAGGACCTCTTTATGAGCATTGTATTGATTGGAGCCACAACTGACCGTGACCTCCTGTGAGAGCATCTGGCGTCTCCTCTGAACGCTGTGAAATCACATTAGTTGCTTAGAATCTGTCTCGGTGGGAATATTTACATCAGAGTTGGCAAATGCTGTTGTGAGGATTAATTTTGGTTGTCAATTTGATTGGATTAAAGTCCACTAAGCGATATGCCTCTGGGGGGGTGTGGTTGGGCAAGTATTTCTAGGAGGGATTAGCAGAGTGGGGAGACTGTCCCCCACAGTGGGCAGCACCTTTCAGCCCTGGCCCAGAGATAAGGAAATCCAAGAGAAAGGCAGGGCGGCTCATGGCAGCCTTCATTTTTTGCTGTGGAGTGCATCTGTCCACTGTTGCCGCTGCTGTACTCTGCTGCCATGAGAACCCAGTGTCTACAGGCTTCCATCCAGTGGCCCTTCAGGAGTCTTCCAGGCATTCAGCACCAGACTGAGGCATCCAGCAACTGGGATTGAAGGGTCAATAGGCCTCCAGCCTCTTCAGCATGTAGACAGCCATTGTTGGACTATCCAGCCCGCATCACGTAAGCCAACCCTAACACATCCCCTTTGTAACGCACATTCGCACATTCGTTCCATTGGCTATGTATTAGCCCTGGCTCATACAGATGTTCGTTGGGGGATGTCAACTGGCTTTTTATTTCTCAGACAGCTTCTTATACTTGCCATATAAAAAAATTGAAACAGAAATCTTAAATAGACTTATTTACTTTGAAATAAGAAAAAGCAAATGACATAAACAAAACTGTGTGAGAAGAATGGCATGGTTTTATGTATTTAATTTTTTTTTTTTTGCCAATACGTGTAATGCCTGAGCTTAGTAAGAACCAGCTGAATCCTGCTCATTCTTCTGAATTCTTCTGTTGTGACAGTATTTTGTTCACAGAAAGGAAGTAAGCTCCATACCCTTACATACACAATTGGAAGAGGCAGACACCCTTACATAACCCTTGTAGCTAACTGAAATTTTTGCTTTGTTTTGGGACTGAGTTTCACTACGTAGCTCTGGATGGCCTGGAACTCATGGACCAGCCTGGCCTTGAACTCACAAAGATTCATTTGCCTCCGACTCCTGAGCACTGGAACTAACTATGTCCATCGAGATGTTCTTTTCTGATGTTGTAATATAAAAATATGTACATAAATTCATAGTAAATTCCCTTCAATCAGTTCTGAGTTTTATGTTAGTGAGCTGACTCTCGGTGCACTCCTAGGTAGAATCAGAGCCAGGGGGCAGAGGCTGAAGGCTGAACTAATTACATTGATGTTAAAACAGCTAATGATGTTTTTAGCCATTCCTGTAAGACACCTGAAAAGCTAGAAGTGGGCGGGTTCAGAGAGCGTCTGGGTTGGCAAGCACATCCAGAATACCCTCAAATCCCCCTTCCCTTGGACAGAAACACCTGCACTGGGGGCACTTCTGGATTGCGCCTGCATGCATGATTAGAAGAGTTACAAACAGGGACCAGTAAGATGGCTCTGTGGGTTGAGGCACTTGCCAGTGATGGCCTGAGTTCTGTTCCAGGACTGCTTGGTTGAGGAGAGACCTCATGATCTTGGTTTACCCTCCGATTGCCATACTTTTTTATTCTCTCCTGCATCTCTGACCTCCCATTCAAGATTTCCTTTTTGATTCAGTTCTGGTTGCACCAAACTCCCTCTGTTTCTATTTCATCTGAAAACCTTAATTTGCCCTCACCCTGAAGAGCATTTGTTTTGTTGTTTGTTTGTTTGTTTTGTTTTTCCAGACAGGGTTTCTCTATAGCTTTGGAGCCTGTCC